ACGAGGGGGGCGGGGAGGGGGCGGCCGAGGGGAGGGAGGGGACGCTCTGGGGGGGGGGGGGCGGGGGGACGACGTCGGGTCAAGGCGGGGCGATGTTGGGTCAAGAGACAATTTTGCATCAAGGTGGGTCACTGTTGGGTCAAAGTGGGGCAACGTTGGGTCAAGAGACAATTTTGGGTCGAGAGGAGACAATGTTGGGCCAAGGTGGGTCAATGTTGGGCCAAGGTGGGTCAATTTTGGGTCAAGAGGGGTCAATGTTGCGTCAAAGTAGGTCAATGTTGGGTCAAGAGACAATTTTCGGTCAAGAGGGGTCAATGTTGGGTCAAGGTGGGTCAATTTTAGGTCAAGGTGGGGCGATGTTGGGTCAAGAGGCGCCGTTGGCACGAAGGGCGTCGCCTTTGGAACTGGAGATGGCGCCCTGGGGACAAAGCAGGTCATTGTTGAGCCAGGACAGGTCATTGTTGACCCAAGACCCATCATCATTGACTCAAGGGACTTTGTCGCTGGAAATGGCCCCTCTTGGCCCAACGATGTCATCGTTGACCCAAGGGACGTCATCGCCAACCCAAGGGACATCACTGTTGACCCAAGGGACATCATCACCAACCCAAGGGACGTCATCGTTGACCCAAGGGACGTCATCGTTGACCCAAGGGATGTCATCGCCAACCCAAGGGACGTCATCGTTGACCCAAGGGACGTCCCCTTTGGAGCTCGAGGTGGCCCCGTGGGGACGAGACAGGTCGTTGCTGACCCAGGGCGGGTCATCCTTGGGTCAGGGGGTGTCCCCTTTGTCACTGGAGATGGTCCCGTGGGGACAAACCAAGTCGTCGCCGGCACGGGGGGCGTCGCCTTTGGCGCTGGAGATGGCGCCGTGGGGACAAAGAGGGGCGGCCTTGAGCCAAGAGCCACCACAGGGCAGACAGGTGGCACCCGGGGGACAAGGGACGTCCCCTTTGAGACTGGAGATGGCGCCGTGGGGACAGGAACGGTCATCGTTGACCCAAAGCAGGTCATCGTTGACCCAAGACAGGTCATCGTTGACCCAGGACACGTCATCGTTGACCCAAAGAACGTCCCCTTTGGAGCTCGAGGTGGCCCCGTGGGGACAAACCAGGTCCCCGCCGGCCCAAGAGCCGCCGCTGGCCCGAGGGACGTCACCGTTGGGACAGGAGGTGACACCGGGGGGACAAGAGAGGCCACCAGGGGCGGCTCCTTTGTCACCGGAGACGACCCCGTGGGGACAACCCGGGCCGTCGTTGGCCCGAAGAACGTCCCCTTTGGGACAGGAGGTGACACCGGGGGGACAAGGGACGTCCCCTTTGGTGCCAGGGACGTCCCCGTGGGCGCGGGGGGTGGCACCTGCCCCGGGGACGTCCCCAAGGACACGACCGATGTCACCTGGGCCACCAGAATCGGCGCCTGGGCCACCAGAGACACCCCCAAGGACACAACTGATGTCACCTGGGCCACCAGAATCGGTGCCTGGGCCACCAGAGACACCCCCAAGGACACAACTGATGTCACCTGGGCCACCAGAATCGGTGCCTGGGCCACCAGCGCTGCCCCCAAGGCCACCAGTGATGTCACCTTGGTCGCCAGAGATGCCCCCAAGGCCACCAACGATGTCCCCTGGGCCACCAGAGATGTCCCCAAGGACACGAGGGACGTCCCCTGTGGCACCAGCGCTGCCCCCAAGGCCACCAGTGATGTCCCCTGGGCCACCAGAGGTGACACCTGGGCCACCAGTGATGTCACCCGGGCCACCAGTGATGTCACCTGGGCCACCAGAGGTGACACCTGGGCCACCAGTGATGTCACCTGGGCCACCAGAGGTGTCCCCTGGGCCACCGGCGCCGTCCCCTTTGTCCCTCGGGGGGGCCCAGTGGCCGGACGTGCCCCCCCCCGGGGCCCC